ATGGATGTCCCAGTCTCCAGTGCCACAGATCAAAATCCTTATTATTGCTAGAAACGGCTGCTGAGATGGGAGTTTTGCTTGGAACAAGAGATAGGGCTTTTGTTAAGGCTGAGGGGGAAACTTGAGTTTGTAGGAGATGATATAATCTTTGCTTCACTTCACCCATTCCAGTCGTTTTCGAGGTCGAAAGGTCCTGCACAAAACAATTTTTAGAAAAGAATATGAGACAACATTTAGAAGTTTCTGTCAGTTTTCTGGCTGATATTAAATTAAACGCAAAGGATGGAACACAAAGCACATTATGTAAAGTTAAATTCTCTGTGACTTTTACGATTCCTATGTGTGTAGCTTTAACCAGATCCCCATTTGGAAGGGAAATTGAATATGACACTTTGGCTGGTGGAAAGTTATAAAATAAGGTGCAGCAGACCATATGGTCTGTTGCCCCTGTATCGATTATCCATGGTATGTTGGTGCCTTTCTCATTTTTGGCACCATAGACTGACAAGCAGGATGTGATACCAGAGAATTTTGGAATTTGTGCATCTGTAGGGGCTGTGGTAGTGAGGGATATGTTGCTTTGTGACTGCAGTAGTGCCAGAAGTTGTGCATGCTGCTCCTGGGTAAATGACACCTGATTAGCATCATCAGTGCTTCCTTGGATTTGCAGAGAGGCTAGGCTAGCATATCCTTTTTCCTTTCCATGTAGTCTGTGTCCAGGAGGATATCCATATATTTTGTAGCACTTGTCCACAGAATGGCCTGTTATATGGCAGTGGCTACAAGTGGCTTTGTTGGGGTTGGCTTTGGTGCACCTTTCCAGTGAATGGCCAGGCATTCTATAGAAAGTGCAGTAGTACTTTCTCTGTATGGTTGAGTTATGCCTTGCTCCATTATAAGGAGTTCCTTTAGCAGCAAAAACGAAAGATTCAGGAACAGAGGTATCCATAGAAATCTGCCTCCTTTTCTCCTCTTGTTGTATGATGGAATATACTTCATTTAGAGTGGGAAAATGGCTTTATCAGGAGAATTTGAGCTTTGATTGCCTTGTATGAGTCATTCAGTCCCATTAAAAATTTTATTACCCAGTCCCTCTGTTGGTTCTCAATAACAGGCTTGAAACCCCCTCAAGTACAGTTGGGGATTGACTCATAATTCATCAATTCATCAAGGAGTGTCTTATACTTAGAAAAGTAAACACTCACCATGTCTTCATTCTGCATTAGAGTAGTAATGGAATGTTTAACCTCATAGATTCGTGG